TTAAGATCAATGTAACAGTCAAGCGCTTCAGTATGGATAACTTTCCAATAATATTCCAACAACTGCCTGAACTTGCTATTGGAGCTGGAGAAACTGGTGGGGTAGGGTGGTCTGGGCAGTATATATGAGGCATGGTAGTGTCCCATGCCAAAGATCTGTCTACATTTTTACAATAAGAAATAAAAAGGGCACCAAGTTCACAAAAGTACAACTATCTGAACCTAAATACATGTGGTGCTCATGTCCTAATATTTTTAGATTTTTCGCAACGGATGTCCCATGTCCAGGCAGTACCCTGGTAGTTGGCAAACTCTCCAGCTTCAGAACTGAGCAATAGAGTGCTGGAATATGGGGAAAATCGAATATGCCATAATGGTTGTGGCATCATTGTGAAAATATGCACTCATGGCAACAACACTGTTTATTAGCTATGTAGTTAAGAACTTAAGCTAAAAATCTTGTTCTATAAAGTTAACATGATAAAGCAATAATGCAACGGTATTAGTTATATTTTAATTTCTTTGAAGTGGTTATTCTAATTGTTATCAGCTTCCTGATTAATTTAATTACTCAAAAAGTATTGATACCATGAATCATATTATGCATCAAGCACATTCCAAAACTTGAAAATATTCAGGCAAGTATCATTCTAGAGTTAAGACGCATTGAGAACCTTCCTATCATAGACTTTTAGCTTACGCATCACAATGACCAACTAATGGTTTTCAGTTAAAGATTCTATTTCCTAAGTTTTCTAAAGACCAGACTAAACATCTCATATGTCTAACATCTGCACTTCCCTGATTCATGAATATCATCATCATTACCTGAGGGTCTACGTCTGGATTAATCCGAAGTAGAACATTGACCCTCTTTCCAGCAATTCTTGCAGCAGCAACAATATTTTCCAAGTCAAACTCGCTATCAACATTGATAAAAACACCTTCTTGGGCAGCCAAAACCAAGTCCTCCAACAACTTTCCATTCCCATTAAAAATGCACCTGTTCAAACAATTGTACAAGCACGTTTTCAAAACACATTTAGCCCAAACACACAATTATTCATACACAGGTAAACATATCACAAAGCAAGCCATAATTTAGATGACAGATTGAAATCCCATTGATGCCATTGATACTAAAAATAATGTAACACAAATAAACCTTTTATTCACACACAAAAATTGAAACAAATGATGGGTATGTAGAATCTTACTTAGTGGGATCAAACCCAGCTCGAAGGGCCAACCTGAGCTCATTCCCACTAACCAGAACAGCACCACAACCCAACTGTCTCAGATGCTCCAATATCTTGTAATTGTTGTTGGCTTTAATCGCATACCCAATAACAGAACTCAACCCCTCCAATGCCTCCTTATAGGCCTCGACGTTTCTAGTGATCTGTGGCTTGCTGTAGAGGTAGAAAGGCCGCCTCTCAACCGAATCGATGACTTCCTGTACCTTGAGGCCCTCACAATAGAGAAACCCATCTGAGGATTTGGAGAAGCAGTGCTTAAAGGGGGTCGTTTGAGGGTCTTGGGTGAGGGATTTTGATGGGTTTTGGGAGACGACGGCTCTGAGAACCAGGGGTTTAAGGGAGGCGGGTCTGAGGGGTAGAATGGGGTTTTGGGAAAATGGGTTTCGGGTTAAAGGGTGCTTTAGGGGTTTGGAGAAGGATGATGATGAGGTTTGGTAAGGGAGCTGCGTAGCCGCCATTGAGAAACGAAGAGGAAGAAGAGTGAGTGTGTGTGTGAGACTGAGAACTGCTTTAAACTGAAAAAGGCACTACACAAAAGGGCAACATGCTCTGAACTTTTTAGTAATTTCAGCAAAATATTAGGAGCACGTTGAACAGAAACATTACAGCTCATCAAATTTATTTCATTAAAATTGAAAAGGATACTAAAAAAGACATTTATTCTCTATCTAAATCACATTTTGACACATATGCAACTATAATTCATCACGATTCACAACACAAACAATAACCTAAAGAGAACATTTTACACGCCTATCAAACTGTCATTGGCAAAAAAA